TACACTGAGAGTAAAATGGTAGATGGGATACAAGGAGAAATAGAAGACATCAGGGAAGAGAGAGGTGAAGGTTTTTATAAAACTAAAAGAGGAGGCAAGTTAGGGTAATGATATAAACAGCTATTGGAGGATAGATGGAGCTAATGAGAGCATAGGCAGTGGGGGGTCGAAGAGGTATGGGGTAGTTTAAAATTGTAGTGTTAGAGTGTTCAGCAGGAAGTTTGTGGTTAAGGAAAGTGGGTGCGGGATGGAAGAGACTAGCGGATTGGTGGAAGATGATGTAAAGAGTTGTAAGGGAGAAAAAGTTAGCATATGAGAAGTTTTTACAAAGTAGAAGTGATGCAAGGCGACAAGAGCTATATGGAGAAAAAAGGAGAGAGGGTAAGAGAGTGGTTGAAGCAATGTAAAAAGATAGCAAATGAGAGAAGTGGGTGAAGATGTTATCAACAAATTTTTGTGAAAATATGAAAAGTTTTGGAGTTGAGAATAAACAGTTAAGGAAGCCTAGAGACACAAAATGGTTTTGTCAGTTAAAAAGTAGGAGAGGAGAGTTATGTAAATGGAGAGTTTAGAGGTATTGGGAAGATGGAGCGGAATATTTTGAGGACATTGTTAAATGTTGCATGAAGTAGGGAAGCGTGATTCGTGTATAGGGCAAGGAAGGAATAACATCTTGTAGGAGTGAGGAAGAGCCAGTTGTGAGTGTGGGGGACGTAAGTGAGCAGTAGTAAAATGAAAGGGGGTAAGGCAGCGGGATTGATGGGATAAAGATAGAAATGTTAAAGCAGGTGGGGTATTGTTTTGGATGGTAGGTGCTTTGCAATTATTTAATAATGTATGGAAGAGTGAATTAAGAAACGTTTTGGAACGATTGCAATATAACCATACCCCCAGGCAGGATTGAACCCGCGGTCATAGAGTCTCAAAACTCCAGCCCGTCGCGTAACCACTAGACCAGCTAGCCACCAATTAAGATTCATCCAACTAGTATATTTCTCACACATTAGGAATGGTTAGCACAGGCCACTCTGTGACCACAAATGCAAGTTTTTACAGACGAATCTCCAGCTAGCGTGGCGTGACGAACTCTAGCTCAAGTCCCCTTCACTGCCGTCACATGATTAAGATTGTAATGACACGATTGCAAATAAAACCATACACGGCGGGATTGAAACCCGCGGTTCATAGAGTCTCAAAAACTCAGCCCGTCGCGCTAACCACTAGACCAGCTAGTCCACAATCAAGATTCCAGCCACTAGGTATATTTCATACACAATAGGAAGGTTAGCACAGGCACCTATGAGCTAGAGTTGTCACGGGCCACGTAGCTAGAGGATTCGTCTGAAAAACTTGCATTTGTGGTCACAGAGGTGCTGTTGCTACCTTCCTATGGTGTAGAAATATTCCCTAGTTGGATGAATCTTATTGTGGCTAGCTGGTCTAGTGTTAGCGCGAACGGGATGGAGTTTTGAGGACTCTATGACCGCGGGTTCAATCCCGGCCGGGGGTATGGTTTATTTGTCAATCGTGTCATTACGATTTCTTAAGTCATGTTGACGGCAGTGAAGGGACTTGAGCTAGAGTTCGTCACGGCACGCTAGCTCGGAGATTCGTCTGTAAAAACTTGCACTTTGTGGTTCACAGAGGTGCCTGTGCTAACCTTCCTATGGTGTTGAAATATACTAGTTGGATGAATCTTAATTGTGGTCATAGCTGGTCTAGTGGTTTAGCGCGACGGGCTGGAGTTTTGATGACTCTATGACCCGCGGGTCAATCCCGGCGGGGTATGGTATGGAAGGGGAAAGGGTAAGGTACCTAGGGTATTGCAGAGAGGCAGCATTAGTTCCTTTGTATAAAGGCAAAGGGGACAAAAGAGAGTGCAAAAATTATAGGGGGATAAGTCTCTGTTGAGTTTACCTGGTAAAGTGTATGTAGAGTTATTTATTGAAAAATTAAGAGTAAGAAGAGAATAGGGATAGCAGATGAACAAGGGAGGCTTTAGGAAGGTTTAGGGGGTGTGTGGACCAGGTGTTTACAGTGAAAACGTAAATAATGTGAACAGTTTTAGATATGGCTAAAGAGGTCTTTGTCGGCATTTTATGGATTTGGAAAAGGCGTATGACAGGGTGGATAGGGGGGCATTGTGCAGATGTTGCAGGTGTATGGTGTGGGAGGTAGGTTACGGAAAGCAGTGAAAGGTTTTTTACGAGGATAGTTAGGCTCAATTAGGAGTATGTAGGAAAGAGGGAAATTATTTCCAGTAAAAGTAGCCTTAGGACAAGGATGTGTGATGTCACCGTGCGTTGTTTAATATATTTATTAGATGGAGTGTAAGAGAAGTAAATGCGAGGTTCCTTGGCTAAGAGGCTGTGGAGTTAAAAGATAAAGAATCACACATAAAGTGGGAGTTGTCACAGTTGCTCTTTGCTTGATGACACTCTGTGCTTTGGGAGATTCTGAAGAGAAGCTGCAGAGATTGGTGGATGAATTTTTTAGGGTG